CTGCTTCCGGCCATCCTTAACCTCGGTTCAGGGTCCACTCAATGTGGACATGCTAGTTCGAATTAGCAAAATGCTAATTCGAACTAGTTTTTTAGTCTAGATCTGTTAGTTCGAATTAGCTTAGTTCGAATTAACTAATTCGAACTAAGTTAGTTCGAATTAACGTTGTAGTGTAGACATACCCTGACTGACAAAGGGTCCTGTATCAAGAATGTCCTACTCCACTCTCACCTCCCCAGCTCTACTTCCCCTAGTATAAATTCCTCTATCCATTCCATAATTCAAGAAGCCCAAACAATTACAAAAAAACCCCACCCATGTTCAGGTACGATATTGCACAAAATGTTACTTTTATTTATGAACAAATTAAGAGTTAGATCCTGTGGGTTAGCTATGGTGCATAGGATGTAGATCGGCATGAACACACACACGGTTTAAAGCTTTTCTTTGCACTCCTCCAAATCTGATGCAGCATAAATTCCTCTTTCCAAGTTTCAGCAGCCTTCAAAGGATGCAAAGAAGGGGAAAAAAGGATTGGTGTAGTGCAAAGTGTCATCTAGCTATGCTTCCTTCTCCACTGAAGCAAAGAAAGGCAATAACCTGAGAGTCCCTTACAGTGGCTTTGAGCCACCAGAATTTTTTCCTGACATTGGGGTGATCTTCCTTGTGCTGCTTATGCCAACTTTATGACCAGAGGATTTTGGGGTCAGAAGACCAGCCGCTGCACTATATTAGAGAACCTGGTACTAGGGATGTTAAAATGCATTTAATTAAGTAACCGTATTACTGCTGAAAATTTCAGCGGTTACATGCAGGGAGAGGGGAGGTGGCTCTTCAGGAGCAGGTGCGCACAGAAAGCCTGCGCCAGCTCCCCACACATACTGGCTTTCCCTTCACCTCCCCCTTTTAAGCTGGCTTCCTGTGCCTACCAGGAGCCTGCATGTAACTGTGAACGCCTACCAGGAGCCTGCATGTTACTGTGAACTTTTAACCAATGAGCCCAGGCAAGGAGCAGGGCCAGCAGTTGGGAGGGGAGCCTTGACCTCCCTTGGTCCAGCAAACTCTGTCATTCAGGACCACGCAGGTCCTGAGAGTGCCAGACCAGGGAGGTCCCACCTGTAGCTCTGTTTTTAATATTAAACCCTAAGTATTTGTGATGCAGAAATTACAAGTTAACTCTAGAATTAAAATCAGAAAAATAATTTAAATCTTTAAGGATTTAAGCTTTTTGAAGCTCACTGCTACAACAGTGTAACTCTGGTTAAAAAAAAAAAACACATACACAAACACATACACATACCGCTACAACAGTGTAGCTCTGGTTAAAAAAAAAAAAAAACACATACACATACACATACACTACCCTCCCCCCAAATCAAAGGCAAACACATTCTTACCACCCTCCCCTCAAATCAAAGGCAAACACATTCTTACCATATGACACATTCATAGGAACCCGAGTCTTCTAAAGTTGCAGGGACAAACCAAAGCATGTTCTCATGTTGATGTATTCTGGAATGTTTCACTTGAGTCACAAGCATTTTTCTCCCACTTTTATACCAAGTCAAGTTGTAATTCATGTGCGGTGTTTTATCTAATAGACAATCAATAATAAGAGGCTCTCCTACCAGTACAAATACCGAACTTGGAGTAAGCAGTGCTTCCTGTACCGTGCATTCCTCTAAAAAACAAGGAGACAAAATAAAAAAATAAGACCACTATAGAACTTTAGAGACAAATTTCTTGAATAGGTTTTCAATATTCATTCTTAAATACTCTCGTGGGACAGGTACCTGCAGCATCTATAAACTAAATGATACTCTATAATTATACACAAAAACTCTGTTAGTGAATTCAGTGCAGAGTACTTTTGAAAATCTCATTTAACATTGGTACCAGTACTGTCCACTCTTTTCAACTGTTCAGACCATGCAGCCTGGCCAGCATCAACTCTCCCTCTGAAATATGCTGAATATAAGAGGAATATGCCAGTTCCCAAGGAATGGCAACTATTCTCCACCTGGCTTTCTCCATTCCAATGTGAAGAAATTGAGATTGCAAAGTATTGAAACAAAAGTCCTTCTACAGTTTCTAAGGCTGCACATTGGGGGATGATGGGAGAAAAGGAGAATTTAATGGGGTTGTTACTTCCAACTTCTGCTATCCTATCCCCTGCTTGCATGAGCTTTCTGCTGCTTTGCTATCAGCAGCTACATAGAATCAACAGATACATGGGGCCTTGTGACTATAAAATAATTTGTCTTTGACAACGAAAGATTTACAAATCTAGATCTTTTGACATTTTCTGTGAGAATTCCAAAGTGTCATATTTAGAATCTTCAATATTTTTCCAATGCCTATTTAAAAATGCCTAAATGTGCAGAACATGCATAATGCACTGCCGAACTTCACACCAGGAAAACGTAAAACTATGGTTTATGAAAGGTTATCAGCACCCTAAACAGGGAATGCTGACCGGTTCCGCTGAACTGCGAGGTTTGGAGCATCTCCCTGCCTGCTCCAGGCAGGAGGCTGCTCCAGCACCACAGGGCCCATCACATGCAGGAGCAGCTCCAGCTATCCAGCCAGAGCCACCCCCGTCCATGGCAGCCCACCCCACTGTAGGTTACATGTTGGCTCTCCAGGAGAAGGGCCAGCAGGGGCTGCCAGCCCTGCTCCTGGGAGCTAGCTGCAGAGCACACCCTGCTCTCTCAGGCAAGTGGCTTCGCTGCAGCAGGGAAGCCTCCTCCCTAGGAGACTTCACTGCAGCTTATTTAAACTTTATACTGCAGAGCCTGCAGCGTATGTAACCTCTGGGATTTTCAGTGGTTACATGATTACCTATTTAACCAACTTTTTACATCCCTACAGTTCTTGGGGGCAGGACCGGCAGCCAGTGCAATCTGGCCCCGCTCCTGGGGAGCCCCCTGCCACCCCACACTGCAGTCTATCAAAGGCAGCAGCATGGGGAGCCAGGCGGGAGCTGTTCCACAAGGGGAGCCTGTTTAAAAACCAGCTCCTGTCACGGACTAGCTGCCTGGCGGCCTGTGCATGGGGTGGCAGTAGCCCCTGTCCATGGACCAAACAGAAGGGGAGGCTGCCTAAAGCAGCCACTGTCCACAGCAGCCTGGGTTGGCCACAGGCAGAGGCTGCTCCAGGAGCAGCCCATCTGCAGGGGGCTAGGGCTCCCATGGTAAAGGACTGCTGCTGCAAAGCAGTTTCTGTCCACGGCTGTGCCAGCGCCATCCGGCAGGACCCCTTGTCCGTGGGGGCTGGGACACGCCCCTGCACCCCCACAGATAGGGGCTGCTGCCACAAAGTAGCCTTTGCCTGCAGAAGGCCCAGGCTCACCATAGACAGAGGCTGCTGCCATGAAGCCAGCTCCTGCTCCCCCCCACTGCCTCTGATACAGCAAGTGGTAGGGGTGAGATGCGAGTAGTCAACTAGATTAACTGATAATTTTAGGCTTATCATTTAATTGACTACAGCCGGTCCCCGAGTTATGAATGGTCAATTTACAACTGTTCGTACTTATGACCAAACCTCCCATTAAGCAGTCATAAAGGCGGTCCCTGAGTTACGAACGTGATTGCATGTAAATGAATGGGGTCCGACTTACGAACACTTTGACAAGTGTTTGGTCCGTAACTCGTTCATAAATTGGGGAGCAGCTGTAGTTGACTACTCATTCACATCCCTAATACATGCATGTGTAAAAGAGTTCATTCAGAGGAAGTAATTAAAAAAACCATCTGATCAACTTACTTGCCTTCACTGAAGAGAGAAACACTAGGATTACACTACAGGTAAACACAGCTGCAACCATTATGTTTTACTAGAGGAGGGGGGAAAAGAGAATTAGTATTGTTTTTCTCAAAGCAGTTCAATTTACAACCAAAATTACAAGCATCCACACTATAATCTATATTATTATAAGATCTTTTTGTGCCCAAGGATCTCATAAGAACAGCCATATTGGGTCAGACTAATGGTTCATGTAGTCCAGTCTCCTGTTTTCTGACAGTAGAAAGTGCCAGGTGCTTTAGAGGGAATGAAGAGAACAGGGCAATTATCGAGTAACCCTTCCCCTGTCATCCACTCCCAGCATTTGGAAGTAAGATGCTTAAAGATACCCACAGATAAATGGCTAATAGCCAGTGATGGACCTATCGAATTATTTTTTAACTCAGTTATACTTTTGGCCTTCATAACATCCACTGTCAGTGAGTAGCACATTATCTGGAATGGCTCACAACTGTCAGAGGCAGTACCTCAGGGTAGACTGTCGAAACCAGGATAGACACCCCAAATTGGTGGTGTTTTTTATAATCAGATTTCACCAATCCAGTAACAAATGTGAAATCCTGGTGTAATGGTTAGTCCCCTTAAACACTCTAGTCTGTTTTGCCATCCAAGCAAGCTGGACTCAGTGATAAATAGTCACCCCAAAAATCATGCAATATTCAGGTTACTTCCAGTACCAAAATACTAGTCATTTATCCAGATCAATTGGTATCCTAAATCTTATATCTCAGAGTTCAAACAGCAAAGAGAACAATAGACACATTTTCCTGGACTTTATTTCCTTCATTCAGCTTCCAAGTGCATAGAATGAGCTTCCTTGTAGGTAGTTTTGGCAAGGTGTAACAGGGCCTTTGTAATGTGATGTTCCTTCATGGCTCATCTTTACTTTGATAAAAAAATCTCAGAGGGCTAGCCATGTTAGTCTGTAACTTTAAAAACAATGAGCAGTCCTGTGGCACTAATTATTAGAGATTAATAAATATATTATATCATGATCTTTTGTGAGTAAACTCATGACATGTTTGTTAGTCTCTAAGGTGTCACAGGACTGCTCGTTTTTATTTTGATGGCTCATCTGGATGGCTGCAATGGGAAGAGTGGGGGGAGAGGCAGACAATTCCCATACCTGGGTTCACAAGTTCAGAAAAAACATTTACTAAGTTATAAAGCAAAAACTTAGATATGTTCTTGTTGCTTGGAATACCAACAGTACAAGTGAGATTAATGCAGACAGCAACATACAAGCATTCCACAGAGTCTAAAAAGTACATACATTTTTATAAGACTAATACCTATTTTGAGCAAAACTAAGGGTATGTCTACACTGCCACCCTAGTTCGAACTAGGGTGGCTAATGTAGGCATTCGAAGTTGCAAATGAAGCCCGGGATTTAAATATCCCGGGCTTCATTTGCATCTTGCCGGGCAGTGCGGACTCCGTGCCTGCGGCTACACGCGGCACGGAGTAGGTAGTTCGAATTAGGCTCTCTAATTTGAACTACCCGTACACCGAGGTGTACGGGTAGTTCGAATTAGAGAGCCTAAGGGGGATTTTAAAATGGTGCACTAAGGGGGATTTTAAAATGGCGGCACACGGCAAGATGCAGATGAAGCCTGGGATGTTTAAATCCCGGGCTTCATTGGCAACTTCGAATGCCTACATTAGCCATCCTAGTTCGAACTAGGATGGCTAATGTAGGCATTCGAAGTTGCCAATGAAGCCCGGGATTTAAATATCCCGGGCTTCATTGGCAACTTCGAATGCCTACATTAGCCATCCTAGTTCGAACTAGGGTGGCAGTGCAGACATACCCTAACATATAGAAGAACTGGTCTGGTCTCCAGTTATGAGTTTATTAGTTCTTAGCTAATGCCTGATGTCTTGGCAAGAGCTGACACCTGGATTGCCAGCATTGAAACAAGTTCCACAGGTTGTCTGTGCATCATGTGAAAAATAATTTCTTTATATTTGTTTTAAACTTGATGTCCATTAATTTCATGACTGACTCCTGGTTCTTTTGTTATATGAAGGGGTAAATAAACACTTCCTTATTCACTGCCTCCACCTCTACTCATGATTTTATAGACTTCTATAATTTCCCTCTTTGTCATCTCATTTCTAAGATGAACAGTCTCAGTCTTCCTGATCGCTCCTCAAAGTGAAGTTGTTCTATACCACGAATCATTTTTGCTGTCCTTCTCTGTACCTTTTCCAATTCTAATATATCTTTTTTGAGACAGGATGAACATAATAGCATGTGGTATTCAAGATGTGGACATAATATGGATTTGAATAGTGGCATTATGAAATTTTCTGTCTTATCTATCCCTTTGCAATTGGTTTCTAACATAGGTAGCCTTTTTGCCTGCTACTGCACATACAACAGATAGCTTAGCTTCAGAGAACTAGTGGCAGGGAGGTGGCCAAGCAAGGGAAGGAAGAAGCAGGCCTGGGGTGATGAGAGAGATGTCCTAGGTCCTGCTTCCCAAGGGATGGCCCTGTCCATTTAATTCACACTCACACAATGTGAATGGGGCAAGCTGTGCTTTAACTTCATGGCAAAACAGAGGGATTACAACCAGAGGGAGCACCTGCTCCACTAACAGTCACTTGTTTCCCATCAAATGCCCAAACTGTTTTCATAAATGACTGTCCTGGCTGGGTAAGCTTTGGTCCTCCAACTGGTCTGGAAACACTCTCCTCATTGTTGCAGCAGAATTCCCTCAGTTTGCCTGCTGTATTCTTGAATGCTCCTTGTAAAAATGCATTCTGCTCTGCAACTTCCCCCCGCTTTTCTTTTGACCATGCGCAGGTTTATCGCTTAATTGTGTACAATGATTACACTTTCACATCCCTATTATTTACCAGGTTAAGAACAGGACGGTTCAAAAGAAATAACTGAACCTTTTCTGAGCCACTCATCTGGTTACAGTAATGCCATGCAGTACATAATTATGTTCATCATCTGTTGGATTGTCAAACAATTCACACAGAAACAAGTTTATCACAAAATGCTCTTTCCACTCCTTTCTGTGTACTTCAGATACTTTGGGTACATAATCTTGGGCAAATACTACTTGGGTATGTAATTCTGTTGGTTAGCAGAAGGAAAAGCACGTATGTTTGGAATTTGTCTCAATGTACTTCTGAAGGGCTGGGCCTCAATTCACTCCCAGACTAAAGTAGTCTCGGTTAGCATGAGGTGAAACTCAGGGATTTCAGCCCTAAAATTAAGAAAAAATTGTTCCACTGCTAGTAAGGCACCCACTCCAGGACTGCCCTGAACAAGAGTTATAATGCCAAGAGTTGTAAAGTAGAGACCATCCAGGCACTGTGAAGTTTAGGGAAGATACAGAACGATACAGCAGATACAATAAGCTCTGAACAATGAATTTATGCTGGCCTTATGCACAAAGAAGGTCATTAAAAAAATTACAATTCAGGTAAGTGATAAAATACAAGAAAGATTTTAGCAGGGAGAAGGAAACATGCATGACTGGTTACATTTTGTTACCTAGGTGAATTGAATAATGTGATCGGTTTAACAAATTTGAAGGAAGTAGCAAGTGTTCTCTATATAATGTAAATAAAACCTTATGCTCTTTGGGAACCATGCAGCTCAATATCAAGCTGCTAGAATTCTGACCACTTCGCATGACCACGACATTCAGAGGCATCACCAGCACTCCCAGACAAAATGAATCCTGACTGGCCATCAGGTGAAGTTTGTCTGTATATTGAAAGTGGGGAACATAACAGATTTGCTTGGCATATATACCGTGTGCCGCTAATAAACAGATGTTAAGAGCATACCTGTATAAGTTTCTTTCCGTTGGGAAAAGGTTCTGCAAGGATACGTACTTTACACTTCATGCCCTCAATATAGCAAGGGTAGGAGTATTTAAATTAACCAGATCACACTTTGAGCCCTCAGGAGGGTACAGATAGGGTGCCCTAGATTTTTCAGGTAACCCTCTCTTAACATTGGGCTATTCTGTTTCTTTATCAGTATACTAGCTGGAGTTACCGGCATTGCTCGGGAAAGTTGATATAACTGAGTTAAGGAGCATGAGGGGACAGAGGGGGAAGGGAGCCACATGCCTGCCGCCGGCTCCTGAGCCTGCCCTCCGCTTCCTTGTCCCTCTGCCAGCCTTAGTGAGTGACTGCCCCCGTCGCTTCTCCCGGGAAGCCGCTTCTCCCTGCACTGCCAAGCTCCATGCAACCCCGAGGAGAGGCATCGGTTTCTCATCTCTTTCCTCCCACAGTCCCTTAAAACCTTTTCCTGGATGACAGGTTATCCCTCCACTGGCCTTAGTGAGTGACTGCCCCCGTCGCTTCTCCCGGGAAGCCGCTTCTCCCTGCACTGCCAAGCTCCATGCAACCCCGAGGAGAGGCATCGGTTTCTCATCTCTTCCCTCCCACAGTACCTGAATACCTTCTCCTGGATGAAAGGTACCCCATGCAAAGTTTGATTGTGTAGCTCTTATAGTGTCCAAGTTATTTGCGCACAAACAGACAAACATTCTCCTTCATATATCATATATCTGTACTTTAAAATGCCTCAAATTCAAAATATGCCACATTTTGTGCATTACAATTCTCGGTACCACGATTAAACATGGATACAATAGTGATCTGCCATTTTGCTTCTGATATTAGATCGGTCTCTGCTGTACATTTGGCATTAATGATGCTGATCAGAATTTAAATGAGTACTGACATCTGACATGTGTATGGTCTAACATGCCACAGCAGGCTGTACAAAACAACTTTCGACCATCAGTACATGCTTGGCATACTGTACTGCTTTGCACAGTCTAAAGCACTGGCATTTTTTACAGTTATTGATTCTTTAGCTCCGTGGTCACCAACCAGTAGATCGCGATCTGCCGATCGATCTCAGGGGCTCTAAGAGTCAATCTTGAGCCCTCTCTGAACTGCGTGCCTGCACAGTACATTTACATTTGATTTCCTCATTTGAGGAGCAGCTACTCACCGAGCAACAACACTGGTGAGTAGCTGCGCGAAATG